ATATTTAGTTAGATAAATAGTTATATTAAATAATTTACATTTTTTGTTAGGAAGATATATGGAGAATTGTTTAATTACACAAGATCGAAGATTATGCTTTTCAATTTGTTCGTATAATGTTACGTTATTCTGAAAATCCTAGTATTTAAAGTTAGAAGTTAGAAAATATATTTAATTTTAATACAGAAGAAAATAAAACCATTATCTTCTTTTTAACAACTGGAGGCCCTCGATTTTTTTTTTTTTTTGGTCAGAATCGTTTCACACTCAAAAAAAAAACTCATGCATGGTGAAAAGAATATATATTTTTTCTGCGCTATATGTATCAACAATATATCAATGTAAATTATCATATAGATTAAGCATACCCTTTTCTTCTACAATTCTATTCATTATACACGATCTTAAGCTCTATGTTTGCATTTAGAATTTTTTGAGTGACACCCACTTCCACATAAAGTATTTAATTTCCTACACAAACATCTCGCTATAAGACAATCACCCTACAATTGCATCCTTTATTACTTGCAAGAGAATTGGATTGAAGTCTTGCAGCTTCAATGATACTGATAGTTGTATCAGTTGATGGATTATTCAATTCAGGAAACTCTTTCGGCCCAAGTGGCAAAACTTCACCAGCTGGAAATGCATTCTTTAGAATGCCAAATCGACATATGAGATTATATATGTTATTAGGAAGTACTGAAATACTTTGCACAGAAGTGCACAACGATCACCGGGTCCACGATCAATCTTAGCAATTTGAATTTTCACTAGATCACCAACTTTATAGATACGTTCGTGAATATTATATTTTGCGTGCATCTGGTTTTCCATTTTTAAACGATAGTCCACAAGATGTTTATTTGCTATTTGGCGATAAATATTATGTTGATACCTTGGATTATTCAATATGTCTTGAAGTGCCTGATGACGACGTTTTTTATTAGGAATAAAGTCATATGAATTAATCGTTTCATTTATTTCCTATTTTTATATACAAATATATAGAAGTTTAAATTATAATTAATATTTTAAAATTAATTAATTTATAATATAAAAATCACATAACATTATTATTTGTCTCCTATTACCTGTCCCTGAACTCCTTGAATTTCTTGTTGAGAAATTGGTTCACTGAACATTTTAGTATCATCATCATTTATTTGTTTCCTATCACTGTCGTCTCTAGTTAATTGCCGTGCTTGCTGGTTATCAAAAATTGTTTGTTGCAACATTGAACGATTGTCTTCTGAAGATTGAGAGGAGCTTGACGAAGTTATAATTAATGAGAAATAAATTCATAAATAAATTAAATTGCAACAATTTTTCGTAGTTGCATTATACTTTTTTTACCTTCATAGAGATTATCATTAATTTTTATATGTGCAAGACCATCACTACGTTGTTGAAGTGTCATATTTTGGTCATCACAATCATCTACATTATTATCAGCGCCTTCAACATTTGTCTCATTTTCAATGATACCTTCCAGTAAGTCTTCTTTCATATTGATATTATGTTGCTTCCATTCCTTAATCATGTTAAAGTAGCGTAATGGGTGTTGCCCAAAAACTAACTCATATGGTGTAAGACAAGTAGGCCTAGAGCAATGAATATTCATAGCATATGTGACTATGGGAAGGCCAATGCTCCAATCCCTTCTATTGTTATCTTCCATCCATGCTGATAGAGCATTTTTTAAAGTCTTGTTTGAACTTTCAACTGAACCCTGAGATTCTGGGTGGCGAGGACGCCCATTAATAATGTGAATTTCTTTCCATAAACAAATAAGTTCATGAATGATTTGCGCGGTGAACTCCCGACCATTATCACTTTGTAAAATATAAGGAGGGCTAAAAACAGTAAAGATTGAAAATAAAAATGCAGCGACTTCTGATGCCTCCTTGGTGCATAATGAACATATTCATGAAAACCACGTGAAGTGATCACAGAGATGTGCAATATACTTATACTCTTTATCTGGATATTTTTCAAATGAAACTAAATCGACCTGTACGCGTTGTAACAACTTTTTTGAAACAATAGTTTTTCCAATTATAGGTGCCGAAAAACTTCTTCTTGTATAACATTGTGTATAACGAGAGACATATAGTTCCACAAATGATCTAGGAACATAAGCGTACTGGTTACTAATTGCCTCATATGTCTTCTTTGAGCCAGAATGCTGCTGCGTGTTGCCGTGTATCTTTCCAAGAACATCATAAAGGTTTTGGAACGGACAAATAACACGATCTAATTTTTTATTTGAATTTTTGACTTTCATGAGCTGAATAATTGGGTTTTGTGGCGTTCCAAGATCGCATATGTAAAAATTTTTCTTTGCCCAAAACCGATCTTTTGCAGTTCCAATAGATGTGTCTTTGGGACTTTTAAAAATGCTGATAATTAAGTCATAATCTTCTTGAGTGATAATTGCTTTTTTTTGTTGATTAGGAGTGTGACTTGATAAGAATTCAGACACAAGTTAATTAAACGCAACATGTGAAAAAAAGGGAAACTCTCTATCAGTATCCATAAAGTTAGACGTATTGGGTTTATTGGTTTTTTTTTTTATTTTTTTAGTTGAGGAATTAAATGGTAGTAGCAAAACAAGTATCGGTCGTGTTATTGGGTAAAATTTTTTTTTGCGTCTGTCTTTTCTTTATTACTAAGCATACCTTTTTTTTTTTTATACTTTTAAATCGATTGCACATGTATCGGAAATTAAATATTGCAATAACAAACAAATGGTTAGTTATTTAATCCTCGATTCTATTAACACCTGGAACATAAACATAATGATCATGTACGTATTACATATAAATATCTACTGTATATCTATCCGGGTACCCCGCATAGGAATTCTAAATCTGGCTGCTCCGATTCTGAATCGGGACAGCCGGATTCTGAATCAGGCGGATTCCTATCCGGGGTACAACATGTATATCCACCAAGTGAAGATTAACTATTTTTTTAATGTAATCAATCATTTAATTTATGATATAATGGTGATATTTATATAATTTTATAATTAATATAATTTGAT